AACCAGGGCTGCACCTTGGACGCCATCAAAGTTTTCTGCAACATGGAGACGGGCGAGACCTGCGTCTACCCCAACCCCAGGAGCATCCCCAAGAAGAACTGGTGGACCAGCAAGACCAAAGACAAGAAGCACGTCTGGTTCGCGGAGACCGGTTTCCACGTAAGCGTCCGCCCCGAGGAGCGGGAGGTTGACCAGGGGAAGGCGGTGGGTTGGGGTGTCCTTCTTGGGGGGTTACGTTGATGGTTGTTGGAGCCACGGGGGTTGGAACTGGATGATCTCGAAGGTCCCTCCCAACTCAAACCGTTCGGTGATTCTTATTCTCCGAGTCGGGTCCGTGGGGCTTTGAGTTTTGCCGCCTTCTGGGAACGTGAAGTACGGAGCTCACCACGGAAGGAAACAGAATCGTAGAATCGGAGATGACGGGGTCGGAAGGGACCTCAAGGATCATCTTTTACAACGTGTCCAACCATAGGACAAGGGGAAATGGGTTTAAATTGAAGGAGAACGGTTTTAGAGTGGACCTGAGGAAGAAATTCTTCAGTGCGAGGGCGGCAAGACTTTGGAATAAATTGTCCAGAGAGGTTGTGGCTGTCCCCTCCCTTGAGGTGTTCAAGGCCAGGTTGGACTGGGCCTTGAGTAACCTGGTGTAGTTGAGTGAACTCCCTGCCCATGACAGGGAGTTTGGATTAGAAGATCTCCAAGGTCCCTTGCAATTTAGGCCATTCTATGATTCTACGATTCTATGATTCTATATGTTGGATGGGACCTTGAGTCTGGCTGAGCTGATCTCTTGGCCGTTGGAGGATTCGACGCTTCTCTGTAGCCCAACCCTTCAAGAGGGTGGCCGTGACACCCCCGGGCTCTAACGTCTCGCCTCTCTCCCTCCAGTTCAGCTACGGCGACGAAGACCTGGCTCCCAACACCGCCAACATCCAGATGACCTTCCTCCGCCTCCTCTCCACCGAAGGCTCCCAGAACGTCACCTACCACTGCAAGAACAGCGTCGCCTACATGGACGAGGAGACGGGCAACCTGAAGAAAGCTCTGCTCATCCAGGGCTCCAACGACGTGGAGATCAGAGCCGAGGGCAACAGCAGGTTCACCTACAGCGTCCTGGAGGACGGTTGCACGGTGAGTCCCGCGCCAGGAAAGCCGGGAGCGATGAGTTTGGATCCCGCGGTTACATTGTTCCTCCTCATTTTTGGTGGTTTTTTCTCCTTAGAAACACACCGGGAAGTGGGGCAAGACAGTCATCGAGTACCGGTCGCAGAAAACCTCGCGCCTGCCCATTGTAGATATTGCACCTATGGACATTGGCGGAGCCGAGCAGGAGTTTGGCGTCGAGATCGGCCCCGTCTGCTTCTTGTAAAAAGGAAAAAAAGAAACCCAGAAACACCCCAGAATTGGTTAATTTGTGTGTTCGGTTGGTGGTGGTGGTTGTTGTTCCGGTTCGGTTTGTTGTTTGTTTGTTTGTTTTTTTTAAATCCAGCCCGTGAGAGAGAAAAGAAAAAAAAAAACCTTAAAAAAAGAAAACTCAACCC